TGAGTGAGCTGTCAACAGTCCTCCAGTGTTTCACCGCCGCAGCAGATGTAGACAAGAATGACTCCTAAGCGATTGAGGTGTTCTGTTGTTGGACGTAATAATGAACATAGCAGTCGTCATTTACTCCCGATATCTGAGCCGCTGAAGACGCAGTGGATTATGTTTGTTTTTGAAGGGAATGTGCCCCTGATCTACCTAAATGCATCTATGTTTGCGCGAATCATTCGTGATCCAACTTCACCTACAGAAAAAGTGAGTATAAGGTTTTTGAATGAATCTTTGCAAATTGCCTTTCCTAATAATGTGCTAATTAGCAAGTTTCACTATGAATGCAGCTAAAGTAAACAGTCCCTCAGAGAGCAGCTCGGAAGAGAGGGGCAGGGTCAGCAGAGCTCATTAACATTTAAAGGAAAATGCTACAAAATGGCTTGCTCTGAAACGAGCTGTTTTTGACAGGGTTAAAAGGGTGTTTTTTACACTACCATTGAGAAATTTTAACCAAACTATGTTATTAAGACCCTAAAGAATCATATCAACTTGTGGAAAATGGGCATCCGATGACCCCTTTAAAAATAAAAAATTGGAAAAAAATTATTTGTACAAAAGTATTCACAGCCTTTGCCATGACACTCAAAATTGAGCTCAGGTGCATCCTGTTTCCACTGATCATCCTTGAGATGTGGAAAGGCACACACCTGTCTATATAAGGTCCCACAGTTAACGATGCATGTCAGAGCACAAACCAAGCAATGAAGAATTGTCCGTAGCCCTCTGAGACAGGATTGTATCGAGGCACAGATCTGGGGAAGTGTACAGAAAAATTTATGCAGCATTGAAGGTTCACAGAAGCATGTAGTCACTGTTACCCTTAATGGAAGAAGTTTGAAACAACCAGGACTCTTCCTAGAGCTGGCCTCCTGGCCAAACAGAGCAATTAATGGAGAAGGGCCTGGTCTAGACTGGTGACCAAGAAGCTGGTCACTCTAGATGAGCTCCATGATCATATATGCAGATGGAAGAAACTTACAGAAGGACAAACATCACTGCAACACTCCACCGATCTGGGCTTTATGGTGGTGTGGCCAAACTCAACCCTCTCCTCAGTGAAGACACACTTGGAATTTGCAAAAAAGAAAAGCACCTAAAGCACCCTCAGTCTGTGAGAAACAAGATCCTCTGGTCTGATGAACCTCTAAGCATCATGTTTGAAGGAAACCAGCTCTGATCATCACCTGCAGAGTACCATCCCAAAAGTAAAGTGTGCTGGTAGCAGCCTCATGCTGTGGGGCTGTTTTTCAGCGGCAGGGACTGAGGGACTCGTCAGAGTAGAAGAAAAGCTCAATGCACCAAAATATTGAGATAGCCTTAATGAGAACCCAGTCTAGAGCATTCAGAACCTCTGACTGGGCAGAAGGTTCACCTTCCAACAGGACAATGACCCTAAGCTACAGATGCGTTGTACGTCCCTATTTGAAAGCAAATGTTATAAAATACAAGTAAGCTGTACATATCTTTAATAGAAAGGGTAGCCTTTTCACACCAAAAGTGAAATGAATAAGCCTCAGGCTGAAGGGAAAGTAAATTTACGTCCGTACAGTAGAATGCAGAGGAAGAAATTTCAGCACACTTCAGCAATAAAAAAAACACACAAATGTTTGTCTAGAGTAATTTTTGCTCATCGAAGGTCAGAAGCAAAGACACTGGTTAATAAAATGGGATTAAATACATAAAGGATATTTGTGTTGTTTAACATTTAATTATTGCAGGTTTGCATCATATTCTGAGTTGCATTATTTTTATTCATTTTGAGGAATACTGAAACGGTGTGTTTTTTTGTGAGTGAGATGAATTAATGCATATTCATATTTATTTTAAAACTACAGTAACATCTTCTGATTTCTCTCGACATGGGGACAGGAGAGCTGTCAGTCAATAAATTGGGGGAAAAAAGTAACTTGCGTTACTTATTTGAAAAAGTAACTCAGATATTCTCTTGTAAATTAAAAAGTAATGCGTTACTTTACTAGTTACTTGAAAAGGGTAATCTGATTACACGTTACTTGTAATGCGTTACCCCCCAACACTGTTCATCAGTAGTTGATGCAAAATTGAAACACTTCCTAATCCTGACATGATTTTTGTAAATCCAGTGGTCAAATGCTGTGTAGTTACCTGAATAATGACTGATCTCTGTTTGAATGTCCACAAAACTAGAAGACTTTCCGGGATAGAAGAGATTATATTTAATTTAAAAGATGAAAAATCAATAAATTATTAATAAATTATTGCCATTGTGTAAACAATAATCATGTAACCCATAAAAGTAACTGTAGTCTGATTACGAGTATTTTCAAATGTACTTTAAATCTAAAAACAAGTACTTCATTTTTGGAGTGTGATTACGTAATCCAGATTACATGTAATCAGTTACTGCCCAGCTCTGTTTATAACCTATACCAGATGGTTACCACAAGAATTTAAGGTCACCCACAGAACCAACAGTCGTTTTTCTCGGTCTCTTCGGGAACAAAAGAGCATTAATGCGTGCGTGGCACAAAGTCTTTTGCAATAGTTGTGCCCGTAGACGCCTATCCAGCAACATTTGTGGAAGTCTCCATTACACGTCACCGCCCCGCACATCTCGACTCGACGGGCCTTTTATTTTCTATCAATCATGCTGCATGTCCGTGTGTGTTCATTCACACATCCGTGTGTGTAGTGTTCAGATCTCATGGCTGCGTGGCGCACGCACGCACGCAACTGCTGGCTTTTTTTGTATCATGTCTCTTCGTGACTCAGTCATAAAGAGGACAGTGGGAGTTTAATTGAATAAAGGAGCAAGGAGAGAGAGAGAGAAAGAAACAGAGTGAGAGGGAGCGAATCGATGTAGCCATACAGGCTACAGTGTTTATGTATTTGTGCTGGCTCCCCTTTTTCTTTCTTTCTTATTATTTGTCAACTGATTTTCCAAAATGAGGTTAAAAGTTGGATTCATCATTCGAAGTTTACTGGTCATCGGCACGTTTTTGGGGCTGGTTTTGCTTTGGTCTTCGCTGACACCGAATGGAGTCGACGATAACCCGTTTGCTGGCGTACTGGTAAAGTATCGCTTTAATGTTCTTGAGTTATCTTGATACCTGAGTGTTTTCGTTGTGCTGTTAATTTCACCCTCCCTGTGTTAGTATTCAGCAGGCTCGGCTAGCATGATGATTAGCATGCTAACTGCTGCGGTTGTCATGGAGATGAGCAGCTAGAACTGACCGATGAATTGTAACAGACACAGACCTTTATATTTATCCAGAAATGTAACTAAATGTGCGTTTCCATTCAAATGAACTAAAACACGCAGATGTGGCTGTAAGCTGCTAGCACGGAGAGCTAAATGTCGCTCTCTACATCCTCACAAGTGTCAAATTCAGTGAAAACCCGGAAGGTCATTGTAGTTACTGGTTCTTCATTTGAGACACGCATCATTTATGTAAAATCACATAAAAAAGCAGATGTTTTCAAGTAAAATATGATTGTTTCCGGTGAGCTTTCTGGGTGGTTTTCACTTTCAGTACTGATTATGGACTAAAGGGGTCTTCGAGATTGAATAGGGGGTCGATATGCTTGCCGACTGAATTAAAGGCCGACTATCAGCTCGACAATAACGAATATACACCGAAACACACTTCTCTACTTTCACAAGAGATTGCATAGAAATGCAAGTGTGTGTGCACACTGACACGTGGCACACTTGACAGCTTTCTGTCAATAGATGTAACAGCTGCCTGGTTTACCTTGGCTTGTCATTCTGACATTGCAGTTAACGTTTGATTTATTTGCACAGAGCATATATTATTTGTACTTAGTCTCTTCTTTGTTTACTCATTTCTATTTAGGTTATGTTTTGCATAATGGGTTCTTATGTAAATGTTTGCTTGAAGTCGCTTGTATCGGTCTTTGCATATGACCTTTTAACCCTGTAACGCCGACGTGAAATAATAGTCAGAATCTATATTTTGTAAATAAATGTTTATTGAACCTTTATACAACATATAAAAACAAAATCGTAAAAAAATTACATGTTTCTTATTGAGTATTATTTGATACACCAGGCTGATGAAGTAGGATATCGTAAGAATATGGAGCTTATACTTGAGGAGGGTAATTTTTGAGGCTCAAACTGAGCAAAAATATGCACTTGGTTGCAGTTGCATTATATGGTCAACATTTATGATATTCAGCTTGTAATGTAAATCAGTGAGATTTTTATAACTGTATGGCAGACATCTTGCATAAAATGCACATACATATCAGCTATCTATCTGTATTGCCAAATACTGTCTTTGTTTGATGATATTTTATGGTCAGAGTTCTGTAGTTTTTATTGTGGGGCAAAACAATACAGTGATGATTGAGAGATGGACAAATAAACATTTCTTTTAAGCCTGATGTAGCATAATTGATCACATTTAACATGATTTCTCAAAGTATAGATAATCAAGTAAACCAAAGTTGCTTCTGTTCAGTAAATGTTCATTTGAAAATATTAATAACAACATTTAATACATTAATAGCAACAAGAACGTTATTCTTACATTTACTGAATAAAAATCATTAAGGATTTCAAAATGAAAAGACATGTGTACCATAACCTATAACTATATTTTTTAGAATTTTATAACCACCAATTTGTCTCATATATTTGTCTCATTTCATAGGCAGGACGAGATGCAGGTAAACTCTTGCAGCCCAACCTTCCCAACAATGACATGGCTGACCAGTTCAAGCCGGTTGTTCCTTGGCCCCACGTCGAAGGAGTTGAGGTCGATCTAGAGTCTATCCGCCAGAAAAATGGTGACAAGCCAAACCCTGCATTCAAAGCCCAGAACCAGCAGAATGTCATCCAGAAGCAATATATTACCTTCAAGCCTCACACCAATATGTTTAGTGAACCTGTGTTGAAGAAAGGAGTTCTGGGCAACTTTGAGCCTAAGGAACCTGAGCCTCAGGGGGTCCAGGGTGGACCGGGAGAGGGCAGCAAAGCATTCGTACTGGGACCGGAGTACAAAGATTCTGTTCAGGCCAGCATCAAGGAATTCGGTTTTAATATGGTAGCCAGTGACATGATTTCTCTGGATCGAACCGTTGGTGACTTGCGACATGAAGAGTGAGTATGAGGACGCAGGCCATTCTGATTTGTGAATGTATTATTTGGGTGTGTGTGAGGGGAGAATGTGGGTGTGGTGGTAACTTTGGGTTTTTGGACATTTTTTGCATTGTTTTTAAAGGCTTTTTGCTTCACAAGATATTAACCGGATGATCAGGGCCATCGTTAGGATTTCTGGGCCCTGTGCACTGAATTTGCTATGGGGCCACCTCAAAATCACATGGGGTGGGGGTGGTGTGAGTAGTAAAGTTTTTTTTACAGTTTTTTTACTGAGTACTGTTTTTTAACCCCTGGACTGGGGTTAAAATTTGTCCCTGGACAAATCGAGCCCATCCGGCCCACAAATTCCCCCTTGAATGTTTTGATGGGTCATAGGGCCTTCAATTGGAGTAAATAAATTAATACATAAAACAGGACAGAAACGAATACTGATGGATATTACTGAATTTACGACAAATGCAACAAACTTAATAATGCATTTTTGTCACATATAAAAGCACTTGACAGTAAAGCATTGATTTTGAGCTAGACTGCTGGAAAGTTACTGCTAATAAATTCTGTCATAATTTCCTCACCCTCATGTTGTTCCGAAAGACTTTCTTCTGTTGAACACAAAAGAAGATTTTGTAGAATGTTACCAAACCATTTTTGGTTACCCTTGATTTCTACTATATGGACAAAAATACAGAAGAAAGAAATTCATACAGGTTTGGAATGGCATGATGTTGAGTAAATGACAATTTTCATTTTTGGGTGAATCTCCCTTTAAGAACTTTATTATTTGTAAATAATAAACACCTAATTTATATAAGACACTGATATTTATCTTTTATCAAGCCCTTATTGAATTAACATTTTACTTCAATTAAAATTCATTAGAACTAAACCTCTAAAAAGAAAGAAGTTCTTGCTTAGAATTCAGAGTTTAACTGACTAGTATTAGTAGGATGGTGGTCACAAGAAGTAAAACCATGGTCCTCATTACCATAGTTAAATGGTTTTTAAAATAAATAAGTAATAATAAACTATAAAATTTGTCGTTAAAAAAAAAAAAAACTAAACATGAAGAAACTACAAAACGCCTTTTATAAAATTTAAATATTCCCCAATATGTAATAACAGTAACATTTATAATAAATACATTTCTGCCAACACATAGGCTATTTGTACAGTGTTAATAACTTCAAGTTCGTCAGTGCTGTGTGGGTGACTGATCCCGCTCTGCTTTGACGCGCGGATGCATCGGGTAGCGCTGCTTCACACTTTTGCAGTATTTGCTTTATGCGGTTTCGCATGCACTGTAATTTAAAAACGGTGCCTAATATCGGGGAGGTCTTCCTCGTTTCGGCGATCGGATTCGGCCCACTAATTGAATGGAATGTCCCGGTGCTCCCGATGGCCAGTAGGTGATCGCGGGCCCCCTCAGAACTCTGGGCCCTATGCACTCTGTCACCCTTTTCCCCCCACTAGCGACGCCCCTGCGGATGATCCTCTCTTGTTTTAGCATGTGTTTGACTACAGTTTTTATTAAAGAAAAAATAATAATTTACTCAAGTTTTTTAAGATGCTCAGGCCACACACACACTATAGACCAGGGATCCAGCGCATTGGCCCTCCAGGGGAAAGATTTTAGGAACCCTGCTATAGACAGTCAGGTCTGACATGTTGGCTTTCCAAGTTATTTTTGTGATCACACCCAGAAAGATGAAAACGATAAGTACACATCTTTTTTAAACAAGCTATTTCAGTGGCATAGTAGATGACTAACTGCCTGCTTCTTTAGCCACGTCATTTCTCTCTCTTTTTTTTTTTTCAGTTCCCACTAACAAAGAATACCTATTCATTTTTCTCATGGTAGCATCACAAAATCATAATTTTCATGACGTAACACCATGGGACGTGGAAGTAGCTTGGAAGTACCTTCTGATAGAAAAAGTGTACTGTGTTGCAGTACATTAATGTTTGTACCTCTTATACACTTTTCACTTAGAGGACAGTTAGTACTCAAAAGATAATGTGCTGCACTCTATTACTAATGTTCCAGACGTTAAATAGGATCGGCATTATGCCCATAATTCAGCCACCAAAATGTTGTTTGGCCATGTCACAGCTGAATGATAAGCTGCAGTCTCTCTCATTAACTCCCCTCATGCTGGAAAGCTGGATTATCTGCCTGAGACTGCTTTATACATTTATACAGCTTCAGAACTGACCTGAGGCTTTAACAACATGTTTAACTTCATATCTGACCCCTGTAGGTCGTCCAGTTTGGACACAAACTCATTGTTTAATAGGATTTATTTTCTGACATAATTATAAAATGGTCGCACCTCACATTTGTTATACATTGAGTTGATAGTCAACACAACATGCAGCATCAGCAGTTTAATCATTACTGCAGTTTTATGGCATTGTAGTCAGTGCCACTCCTTTTGCAGAGAGCCTGAAAGATGGGTTTTAAAGGGATAGTTCACCTGAAAAAGACACCCGTGTCACACAATACACTGTTATTTTACCAGCATTCTTCAAAATATCTTCTTTTATGTTACACAATCATACAGTTTTAGAATGACATGAGGCCGAGTAAATAATGACAGAATATTCTTTTTTTGGGTGAACTATACTTTTCATGAAAATTGTATTGAACTTGACCAGCATACTTTCTTGAATTTATATAAATTCAGAAAATGTTATATCAAACAAATAAATACATCGGGGTCATTCAATTCAGTTCAACACAGTCATGCTTATTCATTCAGCTGTGTTGTAATATCACTGCTACATGTTTTGACTCAATGCCAGGATGTCTAAAAAATGCACATGCTAGCTTGCTGGAACTCACTTCCTCCTGGGGAAATCAAACCCTTTTTTAGCAGAGAAATCTGGATAGTGTCTGGATCCAAGTCAGGGCTGAAACAATGTACACTGCTGTTCTTTGGTACAGGCAAGGTGTAACTGTTACTGGGAACAGAACAACCTGCACTGATCTTTTAGCATTTTCATTATTGGTTGGTAAATGGCCCTTTCAAAATGATCAGGTGTGTTATATATATGTATCTCTCTCAGACTTAATTATGCTGATTTAAACCATAACATGATTACATTAGAGCATTTGCATTGGTTGTATTTTCTTTTGAGGTACTGAATTGTTGGTGAGTGTACACAGTGATACCAACTTTTGTCTGAAGATGTCAGTGTTTTCTCTGAAGTGAGATTTTGCTTCAGTTTATAATTTACTCATGTCTTTCTCATGAGACAAACAGGCTGAAGCATGTTAACAGCGAATCATTTTGTCATTTTAAATCTGATATCTTTATTTGTTGACGCAAAACGGGTTTTTTGAGGCAGTCACTTCAGCCTCGTGAAAACGACATCGCTCATTGCTTCATGAAGGGAAACAGCCATGAAATTATACATCCTTCTGTTTCATGCATTTAAAGCCCTCCAATTAATCAATCACATATATAACATATTGTAGCCTGTCAGAATACACTGCTACTTTTAAATGGATTTGTTTTTTTGATTTGAGTAAAATAAGGTCAGTGCGGTTAACGTTACATGAAGAGACCCTAACTCTAACCCTTGTTGAGACAAACAGGCTGAAGCATGTTAACAGCAAATCATTTTGTCATTTTAAATCTGATATCTTTATTTGTTGACGCAAAACGGATTTTTTGAGGCAGTCACTTCAGCCTCGTGAAAACGACATCGCTCATTGCTTCATGAAGGGAAACAGCCATGAAATTATACATCCTTCTGTTTCATGCATTTAAAGCCCTCCAATTAATCAATCACATATATAACATATTGTAGCCTGTCAGAATACACTGCTACTTTTAAATGGATTTGTTTTTTTGATTTGAGTAAAATAAGGTCAGTGCGGTTAACGTTACATGAAGAGACCCTAACTCTAACCCTTGTTTTGAGTTTCAAAGCCAGCTTGCTAAATAAAGACTTCAACCACTACAAGGATGTGGCTTTTTGTGCTTCTTGATTCTGACAACATTTGTAGTTCTTCTATAGTAACTTCTTAGCAGCTTAAGTATTTAAAACTCACATTTGTCATTTATATTCTAGAACAAAACATTAAAGTCTCTTCAAGTAATCTCATCAAGACCATATTTTACACACCAATCAAAAACTGGTATTCAGATAACACAATAGAAAATCTCTAGGGAGCACATGATGAATTAGAGTTGGCCTACAAATTGACGTCACGACTGAAATTTACCTCAGAGATTAAGTGCTAAAATTAGCTAAAACATGTAACTAAATAGCATCCATCGTTGTTTGTTTCAATGAACAATTAGCATTTGCATTTAATGGTGACAGCTTGTTTTTGAGTAGTGCAGCACACCCCGATCTCCATTGAGACTGAATGTCATGGGAGTGAGTTGCTCTTCCAGTTGAGTGGCTTTACTGTGCTATGCAAGACAAGTTAGGCCTTATGACTTGTTACATGGCACTTAAATCTGATGTTAAAAGAGACTAAACTGCCATAAGAAAAAAAGTATTGCTTGCAGTATATTGCAGACAGGAAACAATATATATTTTTTGGTTTTGGGAAGGAAATGTGTTTGAGTTTAATCTAATGAGTTTAATCAAGCCTATATTACATGCATAGGCTTGGCTTAGGCAGATCTATGTCCTATTTACTTTAGGCATCAAGAGTTTCCTCATATATATACATGTTCTGTTTGTAAGCTGCTCAAGCTTCTGTTTGCACTATATAAGAATTTGTACATAAACTAAACCCTAGTGCAAATAACCCACCTGGAGTCTACAAACAAAGCCAAAATAGTTTTCATTATTATGCTTTTTTGTGCTTATTCTTCAATTTCTCAAGTAGACCTGAAATTTAATCTTTTTCCAGCTACCTCTATATTTCTACTATAACTCTTTAAAAATAAGATTGCGTTTGTGCAATTCAAACTCTAGTTTAAACAGCATTTCTCCTCCAGTCCCAAACACAACTGTCAGTTATCTACTGAAAGTGAATGAAACTGGATAAAGAAACTTTAACTTCGAGCTTAGAAAGAGAATGAGGAAGTGTGTTTGGGCATTGCTCTCCCTTTATACAGAGGAAACAGTGTGCAAAGTTGCTGTTCACACAACTGTCAGTTATCTACTGAAAGTGAATGAAACTGGATAAAGAAACTTTAACTTTGAGCTTAGAAAGAGAATGAGGAAGTGTGTTTGGGCATTGCTCTCCCTTTATACAGAGGAAACAGTGTGCAAAGTTGCTGTTTCCTGTCTCACAAATTGCTTCCACAGGATGGAGGTGGATGCAAGTGTATAAGAATCTACCACTAATGCATGCTATACTGTGTGTGCAAGTGCACACCATGAGATCAACTCCACAACAACATTCACTTCCAAAATAGTGTGCTTTATAACTATGTATATTTGTCTGTAGGTGTAAATACTGGCACTATGATGAAAACCTCCTCACCTCCAGCGTGATCATTGTCTTCCATAATGAGGGCTGGTCCACCCTGATGAGGACGGTGCACAGCGTCATCAAAAGAACCCCAAGGAAATACCTGGCTGAGATTGTCATGATTGATGACTTTAGTAACAAAGGTAGTGTGAACATTGTTTTCATTTCTTCATCAAACACTCTACATAGCATGTGTGTACTCTGTGCTTGTCACTTTTTTAAAGTTAGTACACATACTGGCCTTATTTTGTGCAAAATTGAAAAGAAAAAGAACAACAACACTGAAGTCATATTTACAATGCAAACATGGAAAAGAGAGGTGCATTGATGCCAGTGTTTCTTAATAATCACAAAGGAGACATAAATGACTTCACTTGTGTCGGGGAGTAGCTCAGCTGCTTTCAAACCAGTATAGATATTTCAGTAACTGGAAGTAGTGTTGCTGTTGTTTACGTCCCTTACACATTGTATTATGTTGCAACAGCCGAGTAAACAGGCAATAATGATGCTGATGTTTTCTTCCATATTGTGAAACGGATTATTGAAAAAAAAATCTAGGGCAGGAACTTGGTTCTATCTGTCGGTTGTTGATCGGATGGAGGCAAATCAACTGAATATGAGTTTAGGGTCGATTGTAAAAAAAGGGGTGGGGCTTAAGCAAAGTAAATAGTTGGAGAAATCAGGCACACATCACCATAGAGAAGTTTGTTGTTTTACCGAAAGACTGAATGTTGACATTTTTATTAAGAATTATAGGGTTAAAAAAAAAACTTATGCACAGATGAATTGTTCACAATAAAATCAATAACATGCATTTAGAAAATTATTATTATTATAATCATAATTAATATTATTACTATTATTTATTTATTTTATTTCATGCTGACTTTAATATAACTGATTTATATTGTGCAGTTAGCTCATAATTTTAATGTAGAGAAGCTGTGGTCTAAAATACATGGAAAGGCTTAAAGGGTTAATTCACACACAAAAAAGAAAATTCTGTCATTATTTACTCACCCTTATGTTGTTCCAAACCCGTAAGACCTTCGTTCATCTTCTGAACACAAATTAAGATATTTTTGAGAAATTCTCCAAAATATGACTATAGCATTTTATTTTAATTTATTTTTTTTTGCTTCTTGGTGGTCCTCGGTTTTCTAAATACTCTGATTTATGTGTATCACTGTCTTTGAGCAGTTACTGGTTTTTCAGGTTTAAGAAAGTGAGGAATGGTTTTAGTTTTGATACCCCTCTCTAGAGAGTCTATTCTGCACTTCTAAGTGAAAGAGACATATCGTTGCCTCAACCTGGTAGGCGGTCTGCCTGAAGACTAATGCTGGGCACTTGTTCATTAACATGGGGCAAGAAGACTGTTACTGAATAGAGATCATTACTCTTTAAGAGATCGCTCACAGGGGAACTATGAATGAATGCAGTGCTGCAGACTTATCCGATAAGAATCAATAAAGGGCGTATAAGCTCAGAATGTTTCATGCATTTAGTAATAAAGGTCAGTAAAAACTTTGTTGATGCCGCACACAGTTTCGATTTGTTTTTCAAATGCAATCTTTAGGGCGGACTGTCTGCACTTTTTTTTTGCAAGTGGTCAAATTGGATCCACTTGCTCTGGTATAATTAATGTCTTGTATATCTACACTGGTTGCTATAGTAATGATGTTGGTGTGAGTAATATGCCAATGACATTCTTTTACAACTGA